ACAAAATGCTCCAATCTTCGTGGGGAGCAACACGTGCTGGGAACCGGGCCCAGCGTCCCTTATTGAATTATAAAAAGGATTTGAAATACCAGGGCCATTACCTGGCTTCGGCTAAGAGCAATCTGAGAATTATGAAAAGGTTTAACCTATTGACCTGCACTGTGAAATAGTCTGCAACTGTGCTCTGCTGGGCTCGAGTAAACTGGACTATGCAAGACACCCAGCAGTCTCATGACAACCGCGTAGACGAAGGACATCAGGATACCCACCATCGCCCAGTTCCCACATACAACAACCATGGACTACCCCTTGGGTGGTGCGCAGGCAGTGTCTGTAATAACTTACCTGCGTCATCCCAACGGGGTGTGTGTCCGGCCGTGCGTCATTCTAATGCCCTGCCGGTGTCCATGCGCAAGGCTGCGGAGTTTTGAACCCGCAACGTCATACCACAATGCGCATTTCCAACCGGTGCTCTAACCACTGAGCTACAGCAGCAGACATCTCTTTTTTTTTTTTTTTTTTTTTTTTTCTCAAAAGAAACAGTAGTTTTATTAGGGCCCAGTGCCCAAGGCAGAAACGCAATGTCAAAGAACTGCAGATTCAGGGGTCGCAAGGTCTCCAATCCCGCTTCGTTGGGTGGGGCCCCTCCCCTGTAGAAAACCACTGTCCTGCTCTTCCTTTTTACTTTTATAAAAGGGGTAACTACGGCGCAGTCACGTGTTCAGTTCTAAATCCACTTCCGGCATCCCTCGAATACAACACATCCCCACCCAACCCTAAAGCTGGGTTGGATACATTCACGATTTTCCTTGCTTTGGAGCAAAATTCCCCAAACCCTTCGTCACTGTTTTTTCTTTATTTAAAAAAAAAAAAAACCCTGAAAACCTTGACTGTGCCCTAGTTTTCCCTTTGTAAAACTTTGCCTGGCTGGAAGCAGCCATCTCTCCCCGCACCCCTTTTTTTTTTCCTTATATTAAAAATTGGAGCATTTCTCTCTTTTGTTTGTGCAGGGACCCTGTTAAACCACCAGTGCCTGGCCCAGCTAGTAGTTGAGGGCAATATGATATATATCTGTTAATCAATTCGCTTGTCTGCCTTCGCAGATGGTCGTTGCAGATCGGGCGGACTTGTAATGAAACAATGATTAGGTGCAGCAGCATGGAGCAGTATAGATAGGTATTTCCTGCCTATGTGGATTTGTTGAAATGGCTATGCGCTGCGCTGATGTCTCTGGAAATCCCTGCTCCAAATTCCCCTCCTTCTTATCTGATGATAAGGGTTTCGGAGAGGGTATTTCGACCTCGTAGAGATAAACAGCCGCTACTGATTACCTCTCCTCCGCATGGCATCATAAGGATCTACGTGCTACGTGCTTGATGATGTGGAAATTACAATAGGGATATGATTTCCGATCGGATGGGCAGTTAATCCCCTCAGCTGAGGGCAATCAATGCTGCTCATC